CAGTCCCAGAATCGAGCCTTGGGGAACCCCACGTTATGCTAGCGTTCGCTGAGACAGACCAATGGAGACAGAAAAGTCTAAACCAGTCTAAAACTGAGAGGCCAGCACAGTTCTGTTATCTGTTAATAAGGACATCATGATTGACTGTATCAAATGCATTTAAGTCTAAAAGTACCAATACTGATAGTTTAATGAGTTTAATGAGTTTAATCAGTCTCAGGTCATTTAGTACTATAACCAGCACCCTCTCGGTGCTGTGGTGAGGACAAAAGTCAGATCATAACTTGTCAAATACACATTTGAGATGTAGGTAAACATTTAGCTGTTTAAATACTAATTTCTGAGCAATTTTATTTAAGAAGGAAAAATTTGAAATCAAGGTTTTATCAGGGTTCCTTTTCTTCAGGAAGATTCGCAACAGCAGTTTCCAGTGCCTAAGGGAAAGTACAAGTCAGCAGAGAGTGATTTCATCATCTAAAAAATTAAACACAGCCTTACAAAGAAGGTGGGGATGGAGATGAGTGAGCAGGTGGAGGGTTTTAGTTGCATTATTTCTTTCTTAAGTATTTCTCTTATCAACAGCAGCAAAATCATTCACAGCAGTCTGAGGTAGAGGAGAAGTGTCCAAAGACAGGCTCTTGCACATTTAGGTCCAACCTGATTTTTTTTAGTCTTGTGTCTAAAAAATGCAGTGAACTCTTCACATTTTGATAATGAAGTGATAAAAGTGTTTGGAGCTGGATTTACAAGGTTGTCAAGTGTTTGGAAAAGAATTATGGGATTATTATGAGTTTTAGAAACCAGTTTGTCCTGTATTTGTTGAAGTTAGTGAGGTACAGAAACGGTGACATATAATTCAGCACACCAACGTCTTTGGTGTTTATGATTAGGTCTGATCGAACGAACAGGAAACCAACACTAATTTCTCGGGGACCATTTATTATGTTACACATTCTTATACGTTCATGTTGTTCTTGCTCTAACCCTTCAACACTCATGTCAATCAAAATATGGGCAGTAAGAAACATTAAACTGTCGCTCCACAGCTTCATTTACTGCTGCTGCTCTCTCCACTACACTCATGTCTTTTAAACTGTGACTGCCATGTGAATCCTTTGTCACAAACACTGCAGTTGAATGGTTTCTCCCCAGTGTGAGCCGTCATGTGTCTTGTTAGATGTCCCTTTCGTGAGAATCTCTTTCCGCAAACTGAGCAAACAAAAGGTTTCACCCCAGTATGGATCCTCATGTGCTGAACCAAAGTGTGACGCTGGGTGAAGCTGGTGTTACACTCTGAGCAGGAAAAAGGTTTTTCTCCTGTGTGAATTCTAAAATGTGCAACCAAATCTGAGCGCTGCCTGAAGCTTTTACTGCAAAATGAACAACAAAATGGTTTCTCCCCAGTGTGGACTCTCATGTGCTTATCCAAAGACCAGCCATGACTAAAACTTGTGTTACAAACAGAACAGCTGAAAGGTTTTTCTCCTGAATGACACCTCATGTGAGCAATCAAGTGTTCTCTCCGATTGAAACTTTTATCACAGAATGAGCAGCTGAATGGTTTTTCTCCTGTGTGACATTTCATGTGTCTTTTCAGATTTGTCTTTAGGCCAAATGTTTTACCACACTCAGAGCAAATATATGATCCCTTGTCAGTATTATGTACAATATTCTTCATAGAGTTTGAACCAGACTGAGGTTCTCTGGTCTTGGTCCAATCATTGTCACTGACATCAGTCTCAGAAGAGTCTGAAGTTTTGTCATTACTAACTGGCTCTAAATGTCTATGTGGATCTGAGTTCCTGTCTGGTC